TGAACAATTCGAAAGAAATCTTACATGGGATCATAAAACAAAGGAAAAAAATATCTTAATAATTCAATTATAACAGTAAAGGAACATCCAATATATAACGATATATGAACGATCCACACAAAAAAAATATATCGGAGTACAGTGTTCAGTGAGAAAAAAACGTAGAAAATGCGTGCAGAGGAAAAATAATTATTGATGGTATATATTTCTTAGCGGTGGTCCAACAGCCCCTCTTGGGTGGGTACTCACCAAATGGAGTTTAATCAAAGGCTTTTGGTTAGTGGCACTTGGGCTTGCAATCACGCTTTCAAACTTGGACCCAGTCGTTTCCACTCTAAGACCCAGCGAGGTGAGTGTTTGGTTTTCTCCCTTGTGACGCTAGCTGTGTCCCAGAAGCGAAGCTGGATCCTCTCAGATGTAGTGTTAGCTACTGCAAAATCCTGGAGTTTCGCTAACACTACATCTGAGAGGATCCAGCTTCGCTTCTGGGACACAGCTAGCGTCACAAGGGAGAAAACCAAACACTCACCTCGCTGGGTCTTAGAGTGGAAACGACTGGGTCCAAGTTTGAAAGCGTGATTGCAAGCCCAAGTGCCACTAACCAAAAGCCTTTGATTAAACTCCATTTGGTGAGTACCCACCCAAGAGGGGCTGTTGGACCACCGCTAAGAAATATATACCATCAATAATTATTTTTCCTCTGCACGCATTTTCTACGTTTTTTTCTCACTGAACACTGTACTCCGATATATTTTTTTTGTGTGGATCGTTCATATATCGTTATATATTGGATGTTCCTTTACTGTTATAATTGAATTATTAAGATATTTTTTTCCTTTGTTTTATGATCCCATGTAAGATTTCTTTCGAATTGTTCAGCATGGGGTTTTAGGCCAGATCGCTTAAACCCTAATTTCACTTCATTACCTGGTTGCACTAAGTTTCATACCACTTATACCTTTAGCGCTTTGATATATATTTCTTTACCGCTGAAAGGATTTTCCCATCCTCTTTTAGAGCTGCTTTAGGTCTTAATTAATAATACATATTTTTACTTTAGTTCCCAGCGAGGTGAGTGTTTGGTTTTCTCCCTTGTGACGCTAGCTGTGTCCCAGAAGCGAAGCTGGATCCTCTCAGATGTAGTGTTAGCTACTGCAAAATCCTGGAGTTTCGCTAACACTACATCTGAGAGGATCCAGCTTCGCTTCTGGGACACAGCTAGCGTCACAAGGGAGAAAACCAAACACTCACCTCGCTGGGTCTTAGAGTGGAAACGACTGGGTCCAAGTTTGAAAGCGTGATTGCAAGCCCAAGTGCCACTAACCAAAAGCCTTTGATTAAACTCCATTTGGTGAGTACCCACCCAAGAGGGGCTGTTGGACCACCGCTAAGAAATATATACCATCAATAATTATTTTTCCTCTGCACACGTTTTTTTCTCACTGAACACTGTACTCCGATATATTTTTTTTGTGTGGATCGTTCATATATCGTTATATATTGGATGTTCCTTTACTGTTATAATTGAATTATTAAGATATTTTTTTCCTTTGTTTTATGATCCCATGTAAGATTTCTTTCGAATTGTTCAGCATGGGGTTTTAGGCCAGATCGCTTAAACCCTAATTTCACTTCATTACCTGGTTGCACTAAGTTTCATACCACTTATACCTTTAGCGCTTTGATATATATTTCTTTACCGCTGAAAGGATTTTCCCATCCTCTTTTAGAGCTGCTTTAGGTCTTAATTAATAATACATATTTTTACTTTAGTCTCTTCTCCAGAAGCGCAGATTATCCATTTCACCTTCATTTCCTGCCTCAACAACTTCAATCATCAATTACCTTGCCTCTTGGGCCGCCATACTGTCGTTGGCACCCTCCTAGCTATTAGCTTTTCCTGCCATCAAGCATTTTGTTATTAAAGAAAACTTCCCTGGCACCACTTTAGCCATGCATGCTCAAGCAACGTTTGAGTGGACAGCACAGCCAATGTCTGCAGCACAGCAAAGCAGGCACATCTAAAAGGGATCCCAGGGATGTATTCTTTCAATTTAATTCTTTTGAAAAAGATGCGAGGCAGGGTGCTGTGATGTTTACAGGAGCCTGCCGGGCCCTCCTACGAATGAGCAGCAAACCTATCCAGTGATGACATGTCACTAGGTCTTAAAACCAGTAAAATAATTTGATTGGAAAATGTTATTTGCATGTTAATTCATGTGGGGTGGAGCATTATATGAAAACACTAAACTTCAGCTTCGGACAGAATACTTACGTCCAAGATTTTTTTTGTCCATGATGATGCATGAAGCAATGAAAAGAGCAGGACAGGAAAGATGCTCACTGAAGAAATGCATTAAGGAAAAAAAAACACATTATGAATTTTTCTTTAGTTTCTATTTAATGAGATGTTATGGGTCAACCTAGAAACAAAAGGACAGTCTCTCTGTCCATGTCCCATTTTGGTTTTAATTGTGTAAATGCACTTTTTTTTCTTACGTGGGAACGATTAAAGAGTATTGTTTAGGAGATTTTTTTTTTTTTTAAAAGAAAAAACAGCAATAAAGAGCAAATGAATGCAGCAATTCCAGAGGCAAACCTGTACAAATACCAGAGAAATAATATGACGGGTGCCATTTGCTCCTCAAAAAGCTGACTGGCTGGTACGCCTATCCCCTGGCTTTGCCTTATGCCCTGACATTGACTCACAGACATGGAGGAAGTAAATAGTTCTGATCTGCAAACCTGATTTCAGGTCAGTGACAAAGTTTTGAAGCAAGACAATCAGCATGACAGCCAGGCAACCTACCCTTTTCTTAAAGGAGAACTATGGGGTCAGGGCTTTTTCCCATAGTTCTCCTTAGGGTAAAGGGAGGACACAAACTAGCGTCCTCCCGTCACCCTAAGCTCAGTATACCGCGAGCTATAGCTTGCGGTATACTGAGACGCAGCAGCCGGAGCGGATCCCGACATCGATGTTGGCGCTGGCGGGTCGGAGCGGGAAATCCAGCCCCTCCCCTGTCACGGCAGAGAGCTGTGACAGGATCGAGAGGTGAGTGAACACCGTTATGTGTTCGCTCGTTCCCGATCTACTAAGCCGACCTGTGACAGTCTCATTGTCACAGATCGGCTAGAACTATGAGGTGAGTGAAAAGCACTCACCTCGTAGTTCTCCTTGAAGGAGAGGCCAGAAATCCAAGCCTCCATGTTTTTTTTAATGGCAGGTCTCATTTTTAAACATTTTATGGTAGATCAAACGTGTAAAGGGGCACTATAAGTAAATAAGTGTTTTAGATGTATATAATACAGTGGTCACTACTATATCTGCATTTTGTGATAAAAAGTTGTAGAAAATACTATATAGTTTGGAGCATAAAATAACAGAAAACAAACGACTGTACTGATATGTCATCCTTCCTCTAAGCAGCTTAAACTTCTGTATCAGCTATGCAAGTGAGCTTAAAGTGACATTAAAGTCAAATTTTTCCCCCCCCCCCCTTCGCAATCCTGCTGTAGGGACTTACCTTAAATGATGCCTCTTTATCCGGTCATCTTCTTCTTTACTGTGCTTTCCAGCTGTCCCTCCAGCGCTGGTGCGGGTCTCCGATCCAGCGCTGACTCCTCTTCTCTCATGTCCCACGGAGCCAGTGCGGGTGCACGCTGCTCCATAGACTTGTGTCTCTCCTCGTCTCCCGGCCGAACATCTGAAATGCGCATGCGCCCGCCCCAAGTTCATTTGCGGCCGCCCGAGAAATTTTCAGATGTTCAGACGGGAGCCCGTGGCGGAGACACAGGTAAGTATTAACCCTTTTTAAAAGGTTTTTTTGTCTTTTAAAAAAAATGTTTTTGCATATAGCTACTGTTTGCTAGCAGTAGCTATATGCAAAAACACGCGAGGGTTTAGTAACCCTTTAAACTAACCTGTTATGGGGCGTCGCACATAGACAAAATTACTTTCTTTTTTCTTTAAAGAACAACAGGCACAAATTTTCCTAATCCTTACCGTAGGGCTACCCTTACACTGCAATAGTTAAGTGCTCATTTTCATCTAGAGACAAAATTAACAAAAAGTTATACTTACCTGAGCCTCACGGCTACCTGGTTGCTACGCCAGTTCCTGCAGCCACTCTCCTCCTCTGCGTCCTATAAACCGTATAGGACATGATGATTCACGGGACCTTAGAACGCTGGAGCAGAGTAGGAGTAAGGCAACAGGGATCAGTCTTAACAGTCAGCTAGCTGCGAGGTTCAAGTCAGTGTATCTTTTTTTATGTTGATCCCTAGACAAAAAAAGAGCATTTAACTCTCGCAGTGCGGGGGTAGCTCCATTGCAAGGGTTAAGACATTTTTTTCCCTGAGTTCTTCTTGCAAAATCCCACAAGAAGGGGCGGGAGGGTTGTGTCTATGGGATAGAAAGTGCACAGTGAAAATAATGAATCCTTTAAAATGATAGACAAATCTCACATTTGGTAGTTATGATTCCAGATCCCACTGTTGCATATGTGTAATATTTCTTCAAAGAAGCAATAAACCTGCTTTGCCTTTAGCTTTTTCTTTAGTAATTCAGCTTCCATGTCTCTGTAACACAGCCGTGAAAGCTTATTTACTAAAGCAGTTAAGACTTTTTACCCAATAAATTGTGTGTATATTCACTTCAACTATCCATTCCTGTGCAAATGAAAATCGGTAGATAGGGATTTGCTTTTGCTGACTATCCACACCTATTATTGTGAGAAGATTCTTAACTCCTTTAGTAAATCAGCCTCTCTGTCTTAGATGAAGGACCTGAGGAGTTTGTGAGAGGACACCAAGTAAAGGATACTAGTGACAGGGTATGAGTTGACAAAGATGAGTGAATACAACAGATAATGACAGCTATCCTCTAGCAAAGCCTGGCTCAGAAACGCTCGGCTCAGCTGGAAGTGAGGTAACCGCTGGTGCAGCCGTAGAGCACTGGTGAGAGCGTTGGCCAGCAAGGCACGTTGATAGAAACTGGCAGCTTCACTTAATCTGCAGATACAAAAAAATACAGATTACCACAATAAATTAGAAAGAAAAGGATAGATGGAAAAGGGTTTAAAAATACTGCATGATATTTTTTTGCCATCTGTGAAGAATATAAATTTATACAGAGAAGGACTGCTATAAAATCTGGCATATGGTACTTAAACATAAACCAGCCTTCTGATTTGGCATAGCAGCTGCTTTTCTAACATCTTTCCAAGACCAGATTGGTCAAACATTTTGGACCCAGGAGAAGTTGCATTAGTATATGTTACAATACTTTGCCCTGAATGATGGGCCAGAATTCCAGGCATTATGCCAAACTAACCAAGTAATAACAAAATGGTGCGCAAGCAGCACTGCATGGGAACAACAACAACATATGAAGATCTTGACATTCATCACATCTATGAGCCATCTTGCAAGCAGAAATGATTTGTTTAGTAGTCTAAAGCAACGTTCCCTGCTATAGCTTTTAAAATATAATTTCAGCCAATACAAAAGGTTTATGGTCTGGAAGATTTTTAGGCCAGGTTCACACTTGGGCGATCCCTGGCTGCACAGCATTGACTGTGCAGCCCCATTTATTACAATTGGCTTATATCCATGCACCAATCACTGAAAAAAGGTACATGTACCTTTTTCCACAACACGCACCTTGCGTTTTTTTCAGCTGAGCTTGTACGCACAGAATCGTGTGGGAAAACCGCACAACTTACCAGCCACGATTGGGGTGCCATTAGAAATTAATGGCACCGCAAAGTGCGATCAGCGGTTGTGCTCGATTCCGTGACTGCGGGGCAATCTGCGCGGTTCTGTGCACAATCGCCACATGGTCATGGATCGCCCAAGTGTAAACCTTGTTCTAACCATGTTTTACTATCCTCTCTCCACTGTCACATGCCAATAAGAAAAGCTGTATAATACCAGATGAGCAGTTCTGCATTCCCTTTGAATGCCAGTACTTATATACAGCAATAGCAGAGTCCCATCCTCTCCTCCAAAGGGTGAAATTTGGAAAATACTATAATTTGCTTAGCTCAACACATATCCCACTGCTTGACAGAGACCATGTAAAGTTCTGGTGGCTGTTGTGCTCAGGTACCAGCAGGTGGAGGTAGCACAGAACTATTGACAGGCAAGTATTGCTTAGCTATTTTTGACAGCTTTGACTTGGGGCCTATTTACACTTTGCTGTCCTTGCACGCGCGCAGGAATGTACACACGTTGCAACACACATTAATGAGGTATAGCAGTCCATAAATATAAAAATAAAACGTATGCAGCATGTTCCGATTCAGTGCATCACAATGCATAGTTGTGTATTACTGTGCATTGTGGTGTGCTGCAATGTATGCAACTTCGTGTGCTGGGGTGCTATTTAAAATTAATGGCACATAACAAACACACGTTACCGCGACACACTGTATCACAAAAGTGTGTTTCAGCCCTAAAAAGGACACCATGGGAAAAAATTAAAACCATTGCAATAGATTTTAGATCTTGATGGCTCCAGAACTGAAACCCATTATTTATTATAAATATGTATATAGCGCCGACAATTTACGCAGTGCTTTACATCAGTGCGCGTTCACATCAGTCCTAACAACAACTCAACAAAGCTGGATAAATAAGTGTCAGCTATGCCCCACAGGGGATCCAATCGTCGAATGTCTTTGGAAACCTTCAGACCAGTGGTTCTCAACCTTTCTAGGGCCGAGACCCCGAGGTAACTTTTGCCAGTTTGTGGTGACCCCCAACTGTAAAATTTAGGGATGCACCAATACTAGTATCTGTGTGGGCTCTCGGGAGGCTATGCAGGCTCTCAGGTGGCTAGTGGGACTCTCTGGTGGCATCCAGTGCGGGCTCTGTGGTGATCAAGCACTCACCTCCCCTCCCTCCTGCCTGCTGCCCTCTCTCTGATCCTCTCCGGGCTGCTGCAGCGCCATCTAGGAGAACTGACACTGCTGCGCTAGGAGTCTGAGGAGCATCTTACCTAGAGCAGCACAAGGCACGTGGGGACCCCCTCAACTGTGGGTTGCGACCCACTTTTGGGTCGCGACCCACAGGTTGAGAACCACTGCTTTAGACCAACAGTTTTGAGTGGAGTTATTAAATATGGATTAATGTGTCATCATTGGATTTTAGGACTAAGATTTTAAACTCTAGTTCCAGATTTTAGTCTTGTTTTAATTGTAGTCATTATGCAAGGACCAAAAAGTGATTGCTTACCCTAAAAGTGGAAGAATAAATAATGCTGAACAATATACTGTGAACCATCGGGAAAGCCACATTGCAGTGTCGAGTTTATTTACCAGCATAAATTGCTACAGAAAAAAAAAAAAAGAGACAGAAAAAACAAATGAATACACTTATTTGTATGAAATGCGCAGTTAGTAGTGACATTGCCATCATGGGTGCCAAACTGGTGCTTACTGTCCCATGACAACAGTTTCCCCAATCAATAACAAACATGAAATGTAGAGTCATGCCTAAAAAAAGTCAGAAAGCATTGTTTGTTAGGAATTTTCTGTAGACTTCAATACATGTATCTGCTTATAATTCTGGAACACACCCAATACAAGAATGCAGAGATATCAAAGTCATGAAATTATAAAGCTATACTTGGAGAAAAGTAAAGCTGGTCATACAAGGTTTTATTTTCTTTTGCTGAAACTGCAGGCTAACCAAAAATAAAGAAACAGATCGCCCGATTCACTCTAAAACAGCATAAATGGAGGAATCCCCCCGCTGGGCTATTGTGTGTATCCAAATAATGATGGCAGACATGATTAGTTGCCATCAATGTTCTGATCGAAGGATGCTGGATGGAAGGGTTCGGTCAGTGCCACCCACTGAGCGAATTTCAGCAGGTTCATCAACTAGTATCACTTCCTTCAAAATGGGAAACACTGACTTACAGTAGGTAAACCTGAACAATTAACTTCTGTGTTCTTTAAATATTTGAAATATATTGAAAGTGTTTTCTTATATCTGTTCAATAAGTGCAAAAATACCTGTTGATGCTGCCAGAAATCCAGTGAGCTAATCCGCTCCTGTACTCTCTGCAGTGTTACTAGCACTGCCCAGTTCACCTCTGAATTACAGAAGAACACCTCCCCCCTATGTTATGGAGATGAGGACCAGGGAAGGGGGGGTGTTCTGTAGCCCTAACATACTTCCTGTGCTAAGGTGACATTGCTGCTACTCCATAGATATAGTACAGTGAGTGAGAGTTGTCACTGTAGAACAAGAGATATGTTACTGGCAAGAAAGAAAGAAAGAAAACAAGCCTAAAAAAGAAAGAAAGAAAGAAAGAAAAAGAAAGGAAGAAAGAAAAAGAAAGAGAAAGAAAGAAAGAAAACAAGCCTAGAAAAGAAAGAAAATGCAGCCACCACATACGTGTATTGATAAGCTGCCTACTTGAAATTTATTTGTCTGAATTATGAAAAAGAAGATAAAACAAATATACAGAAGTGGAATGGGTGAAGAATACAGCCAAAACATGATGCTGTGCCAATGAAGTGATAGATTCGGAGAAGACAATCCACCACTTACCACTGCCCCTACTTGGGGAGGAGTGTTAGGAACAGAGTCCGCCATGGCTGCAATATCTGGAAAAACACAAGGAGCAAAATATGAAACGTGTCAAAGATCCTCTACTGCAGAAAGTGAATGCAATGTTTATTATTATAACGTTTCCTTGACATTTACAGCAGGTAGAGCAGCAATTGTTTCCTAAAATTTTTTTTTTATAACAATTTATTGAGGAACAAAGAGAGATTATAATGTTACACAATAATCAACAATCATCAGATGATGGAAGAAACTCCAACAGACCTGGCACACAAAACAAAACTTTGGTGGAAGAGGGACATAAGAAAACACAAAATTCTTGACAGCACAGAGTGCGGCGGGGGTCAGTCAGCTCCCTAAAATTTCAGACCAACATGTGCATTTAAAGTAGGGATGCAGCGATACCGGTATTTTGGTACCGATAATTTTTTTTGCGGTACTCACCGATACCAAATTACCGAGTAATGGAAGTACCATTCAGGGAGCCAGGTGGCGTGTAATGACTCGCCACCTGGCTTCCTGATTAGCCGGTAAGCGTGTAAAGAATCGCCACCCGGCTTCCCGATTAACAATCAAGTCTGTCCCCTCTTACCTTGTCCAGCCTGCCCCCCCCGGGGCCTCTCCAGCCAGAACGCGGCCTTGTTCCGGTACCCAGCCGGAGCCGTCTGGCCAATCAGGAAGCCGGGCAGCGCACCATTACACGCTGCCCGGCTTCCTGAATGACCGGGTAGTCGGCTCCATGCTCTCTCATCACAAGTGACGAGAGAGCATTGAGCCGCTTCCCGGCCAATCAGGCTTCCTGATACCGGAAGTAATCGTGCTAGGCATCGGAGCATTTGGGTGAGTACGAGTACTCGCCCAAATACTCGGTATCGGTGCATCCCTAATTTAAAGTATAAAACTATCAGGGGTATTCACAAAAGGGTGAAGAGTTTGGAGAAGGCAGGAGAAGTCAACAATCTAGGACAACATAACATTCCCTTCTCCAAACACTTCACCCTTCTGTGAATAACACTGTATGTAAAAACACAACCAAATCGGAGGATCATTAGACAGCATACTAATAGTGTAACAAGACGATAAAGCAAAACATGAAATTAGTTTTTGTTTCAATGACACTGGCAAAGTATCAATAAAGGACTTCTCTTTAACGGCTGTCTGTTCTGCTGAACTCCGATGCATTCAATGATTCATCATGCCATGAAGGTCCTTATTTAGGCACTTCCTGTTACAGTGACACAGCACTTTGTCCTTATTTCCCAATTGTTCTCCTATGTAGCCACCCTATAACACATGCTTCCAATTAAAACTACAAGTTATGTTAAACTGTTGTCGCCAATAGTAAACCCACTTTGTGATAGGCAATAAAGACATCACTGCAGTATATGGAGACAGTAAATGGTTGCAAAGAGTGTGAGAAAGATCAGTAGTGCTGAGATACAATTCACTTTCCAGCAGAGCTCATACTGGGAGAGGAAGACAGTTGTGCTGCATGTGCTGAGAGGGAACATGTAGAGAGCAAAGTGACAGAGAAATTAGTTCTTCAGTCGTCTACTTCTTCTTCACGGTCCAGTCAGAGCCAGGTTTAGCTGTACTACTTAACAACAGTAGAGGTGTCAGGGCAGAAGCCTTATTGTAAGGTCTACACCAGGGGTCAGCAACCCGCGGCTCCCGAGCCGCATGTGGCTCCTCCATTCCTCTGCTGCGGCTCCCTGTCCAGGTGCGGAACTACGGGGCCTGAGGCTGTGGGGGGGACCCAGTGAGGTCGGTCCTGGGTACCCCCCCGGTGGAAAATGCGGCAGTGCAGGGTCCCCGCACTGCAGACAGGCTTCTCAGCAAGGGGGCGGGTCATGTGACTCACCTCCTCTCCCGGCCAGGTCCCTAGTAACAGGTGGCGGGAGAGGAGACGTGTCACATGCCACGCCCCCTGCAGTGCACACCGTCTGGCTGCGATGCTGCCAGTGAGGCTTGGCAGGTGAGTCCGAATGAGGAGCCGGGGGTGGGG